TTTCAAGCAGAAGACGGCATACGAGATATAACGGTACTTAATTTTTCTAATTACTTCACATAGGGTTGCCCACATTGACGATGCGGTCTTGTGCACGACGGAGATGCCTAAATGACTTAGTTGTTGAGAGAGGGTTTCAGACATTCCATTCATGTAAGGTAGAACATCGAATATCCGTGGCACTATATCTCCATTGGGAGGGAGGTTTTGTGTTTGACCCTGAAGTCTAAAGCAATTTTTGACAAACCCTGTCGCATGTTCTTTGACCCGCAAGAATTTGTACAAATACGCTAGTTCTCTCATGAGTAAACCATTATTACTGCAATAGCGCTAGGCCCGTTGGAAAAGAGTACGAATACAGATTCCTTTATGGGCCGCAGGGTGGTTACTTCCATTGTTAAGGATGATTTCTGCACTGAAGTCCTTTCGGTAGTCGCTTGTTGCGAGTTTGCTTTCCGTGAGTCTTTGTATTCTCACATTTAGGAATTAGATGGTATCTCCTGTGCCTCTTCGCGGGGTAAATTGTATTTCTGGGAAGACCCCATTTAGACTCTGGTGCAGCCGTTCGATGTCGCAAAACTTTAAAATGATGAATGTGTCATCTTCGTTGCGAAGCCCCATTGTCGGTTCGACAGCTTGGAGAACTATCTCTTCTAGTCGCTGTAGGGCTAGTTCGGCAAGTAGCCCCGATATTGGCGATCCAATTGAGGTGCCCTTTTCTCGCTGATAGTACTTGCAATCGAATTGACAATAGTTCTAGAGACAAAGCCTAAGCGTATGCAACACGTGTTGTTTTGAGATATCAGTGGAACTTTTGTCTAAGGCCCGCTCTGTACTATCAAAGGTCAAGACGTGCAATATAGAGAAAAACAGGGAAACAACGTCGAACGACACAATATATTCGTCAGGACTTATATAAAGTCCTTGAATTCTCTGCAGGAATGTCTACGAACTGTTGACGCTGTTTGGCGATCCATCACATAAATGCTTTAGCTTCCTGTATAGTCATGTTGCGATGTTGTAGGTGCGGGATGCATTTAGAAGCACAATCATCCTCAAGGGCGCATCAGTCTCGTGAACCTTCGGAAAGCCATTCGCATGTGCGATGCAAGGGTCACTAAGGTTGACAAACTTGTCGTCCTCGGGTGTCATGAGCTTCAGCCGAGAAAGCTCGTTCACTTTTTTCTATTATAGCAGTCTGCTTTTTTGTTGGGTCCACATCGAGTGGTGTGTACGCCTCTATGTCATTGAAGACTTGGTTGGTAGTCGGTTTTGTCCATGGCGACAGTTGCTCCACCTGTGTCAGCGGACACAATGATTATACTGTAATCAGTCTTTAGTGAGAGTAACCCCTTTGTCTTTTCGATAGCTAATATTTGATGGTATTTCCTTTGCCGGCGGAGACCTGTTGCGCAGTTCGTTGTAATCGCTTCCCCAAAACCTCTAGTGTGATATTCTCAGCCCTCTCTTTTCATTTAGTCTGACGAAGAACGAGTGATAACCGTTTAAAAAATTCACGAGTAAAATTTCATTTTCGGAAAATCTTGTTTCTTTTCATCATATCATCTAGAAATGCAACTCCTTTCACTTATCCTACTTATACTATTTTTATATGGTGCCTTTCAAAAAGGAACATGGGCATGTGTATACGTAAAAAGGAATTAAGGCTGACAAAAAGTAGGGTCTATCCTATTTTTAATAATCGGAATGCCTTAAAGCACGAAGCTTCGTTTGCACTTCTGCAACCACAGCTTCGTCAGTACGCCTGCCATCAGTCCTTTCCAGTAACTAACTTTACGCTTTTTGGTTTTTAAAATGAAAATATCACCGTTGAGGCACCATTAGCGGTTAGGATACGCTAAACGTGACACTCAAAAAGTCAAGAATGTGGACGAATACGACGGGATAACCAAAAAAGTACTAATAAAAGATACTTACGAAGAGGCATTGCATGTTCTTTGCTGCGCTCAATCACTGAACCAGGATGCCTCTCTACACCAAGTTAGCTCTATTGGGGTTTGGTAACCAAGCGTTAATGGTGAATGACTGCCCCAAAATTTCGCCGACTTTCTTATCTCTGATTTAAAGCTATCTCCTTAACTAGTTTACCAGGTACCTGCTTTGTTAGGCAAAAACGGACATACGCCAAATATAGTTCCCTTATCCCGAATGATTTTCAGCCGGTAAAGATACGCTAAACGTGACACTCAAAAAGTGAAGAATATGGGCGACGAATACTGGATAGCGCAAACAATCCTAATTATGAAAACTTAAAAAAGCGCATTCTAAGTTCTTTAATGCATGCAAACACTGAGCCAGGACGGTCCCGTACACCCATTTAGATCTTTCGCGGTTTGCTGGCTAATGGTTAGTTGTAAGGAGGCTTCCTCAGTTGAAGGAGTTCACCAATTTTCGTAGACATGCCTGCTCCCTGATCTGGAGCCGACTGTATAATTAGTTTGTCCACTAACGGC